ATCATAAAAGTATCATAACATCAAATGGTTTGAAGGTATATTGCCATCAATTTTACCATTAATTAGGTCATTAGATAAGTATGCACAAATTGTACAATTCTAGCACATATTTGTCTAAATTTAAATGTTAATGTATTAGCATTACAAAATATTAAAAATATTTTTAATTTTTGAAAGGAATATATGATTTGATTATTAAATGTATTACAACCTATATAATTGCAATTTTAATTGTCATCTAAATCTATTATTAAATTATGAGATAGCTTCATTTAATTTGTTATTCAAACAATTTAAACCTGAAATGTTGAACAAATATCAGGATTTGTATGAATTATTTCATTAAAAGCGTTTAAATGAATTATTTGTTGTATTATAATAGCAAGTGATGACATATAGACAGGTGTTTTAATAATGGTGTGATTAGTGATGAATTGGTGATTACAAAAGTGCAACATATCATACAAACCCTGATTTATGAATGCAATCATATATGCTATGAATATAAACGCTGTGAAAGGCGTGGGAAAGAGTCCACCAAAATATGACTTCCCCTTTGATTCAGTCATTGTTTAAATTGTTAATTATTAACGCAATTATTAATTTGCAGTTTTATTATTGCTTTGATTTGCAAACTGAATTAAATTTATAACAACTTTTTAATTAATATCACAAATAGTTGAATAAATGGGACTAGAATTGCATTCAAAGCATTGTATCGTTGATTGGCTCACATCTCATAGGAATTACAATGAATTATCAATTTTTACACAAATCATTGATTTATTACTAAATATTTATCAAAATTATGACAAAACATGTGTTTATTATGGGAATAGCGTTGGAGTGACATCTGGTGCAGTGTGCTGTGAATGTCACGACTGAACACATGTTTGCATTGTTTTGATTAGACATCTTCAGCACACAATCGGTGAAGAGTTGGACACAAGAGTTGGACTCAATTATGGCATCAATTGTGAGTCCATTGAAGTCAAGACTTCATTCATTTGGTGGTCTTCTCAGACATCAATCCATTCGTTGCTATCGTTTCGGAAATCGCGTCCGAAATAAAGGCTTTTATTCATCACTTGATCTCCAATTGAACGAAAAGTTTGTCAGAAATGACAGCAAATTAAGTGCCGAAGAGTTGAGAGAAAAGAGGAATAAATTGTTTGATTGGGAAAAGAAGAGACAATCGGAGGCAGTGACGAGGATGGAGAAGATATCAGTTTCGGTGGTCAACCCTTTCGGCAACGATGACCACCAGACCATTGATCTGCTGATGAATCGCTTCATATCAACGCCACACCACTGCAGTCAACACATCCATCAACTAATCTCCGACCGATCAGTGGTGGCGCTCATCGACGATAAGAACTTTTGGGACATTCATAGACCACTCGTCAGTGACTGCAGTCTTCGGTTCAAACACTTTAAAGAACCGAATCCTCACTTCGTTAACAAGACTTTCTGGAGAAGTTGTTCAAACGGGTGAATCGACGCCACAATCCGGTGCTCACGAGTAGCCCTGCCATGAGTGGTGTGGCAGACAATGAGACCAAAGAGATGGACGCAAACGAAGCCAAAAACGATGAGCTCTTATATGACCCGAAATCGGATGAAATGGACCAGAAATGGGTGGACACGCATAGGGCCACCACCAGTGGGCGTGTGCTAATCTCCGACCGATCAGTGGTGGCGCTCATCGACGACAAGAACTTTTGGGACATTCATAGACCACTCGTCAGTGACTGCAGGCTTCGGTTCAAACACTTTAAAGAACCGAATCCTCACTTCGTTAACAAGACTTTCTGGAGAAGTTGTTCACTAATGATGGGATCAGTCATTGAGAAGGCTTTCAAAGACAATATCGAAGTGAATCTGCATTCGTGGCCCAAACCAGACATAAACTCCGGAAGTTTTGTTTATGACGTTTGCATTGATTTGAAAGACTGGATCCCAAGAAGTGAAGAATTGAGAGTTTTTACAGCAATGCTCCAGAAGATGACATTAGAAGACATACCTTTCGAGCGGTTGGAAGTGAACAAAGAATTGGCAAAAGAAGTGTTTGAATACAATCCAATCAAAAAACAACAAATTGATTCCATTGCTAAGTCTAACGGAACTGATTCGGTGACACTTTATCGTATCAAAGATCACATCGACATAAGCGGTGGTCCAATGATTGCCAACACATCCCAAGTGGGATCCATTCACATGACGGCCATCCATAAAATGGATAGTCATTTGGGACCAGTCTATCGATTTCAGGGCATTTCAGTTCCCAAACAATTGAATATCAATTCCTATACTTTTTCTATTCTTCGAGAAAGGGCTCAAAAACTGAATTCTTCTAAATTCTTGGATCAGTTCAACGATAAGAATGTCAACGAATTTGACAATAAGTCACACGACGAGGAAAATCTGAATAAAAGCTTTAATTAAGTATTGTTTGGCTTTTGTTTTGTATATATTTTATTTGATATTTAAATAAAAATAGTAATCATTGAAAAAAACTGTGCTGGATCATTTGCAGTCAAAGTCTCGCTATTCCTAATACAATGCAAACTTATGGCACTTTAAAGCCCTCCCACACCCCTTACCCACACCTCCCACTCTGTGACCATATAATGAATTAGTGGTCACTTTAACCATAAGGTCTTAAAACATGACATTCCTGTAGAATCTGATGTAGAATTTGGTGATGTCTTGCAAATCGTGTGACCATTGCTTGTGTTAAGTATTGTGTCCATAGATGTCGTGTTTGACACTAACGTTGTGTTTGTGTTGACAACAAATACATTGGTTTGAGATCTGATCCAAAGACACAACAAATGGATGAATACTATTGTGTGGAAGAGTTGTCCGACAATGAAGTCATAGACACCAGGTTTGCCACAATCCATGCATTTGTAAGCATTCATTAATTGCGATGATTTGGTCCAATAGTAGTGATGACGAAGATTTCAAATCTCTGTTCACTTTGGATGACACGGAAGAAGACTTTGAGTCGGAAATGAATAGAGAAAGAGAGGAACGGGTGAATCGACGCCACAATCCGGTGCTCACGAGTAGCCCTGCCATGAGTGGTGTGGCAGACAATGAGACCAAAGAGATGGACGCAAACGAAGCCAAAAACGATGAGCTCTTATATGACCCGAAGTCGGATGAAATGGACCAGAANAACGGGTGAATCGACGCCACAATCCGGTGCTCACGAGTAGCCCTCCCATGAGTGGTGTGGCAGACAATGAGACCAAAGAGATGGACGCAAACGAAGCCAAAAACGATGAGCTCTTATATGACCCGAAGTCGGATGAAATGGACCAGAAATGGGTGGACACGCATAGGGCGACCACCAGTGGGCGTGTGTCGGGCACAGGGGGTGGGGGCGGCAGTGGCAGTGACGCCACTCTGAACTGTCCGGCGTGTCTCACACTCCTGTGTCTGGACTGTCAGAGGCATGACATATACCGAACCCAATACCGAGCGATGTTTGTCCACAACTGTCGCATAGACTTCACGCAAAGACTTCAATATAAAGACAAACAAAGAGTTAAGAAACGAAAACGCAATCAAACCGATCGTACGGTTGAAGAGGTGACCACTAAAGCAGATGATTACTACTCTGTCTTCTGCAACGTCTGCAACACTCAGGTCGCGGTCTATGACTCGCAAGAAGTCTACCATTTCTTCGGCGTTTTGGCCAGTTTTTAGCCATTAGTCCATTGGTTTTGTAATTAGATTTGATTTTTGTTATAATTCATCATTAATTAAGTTATAAAAATAAAAATATATTTTTATGAATACAGTATTTGTTGAGAAATCTTTACTAACGAAATAAATTTGGCGTAAATATTGAATAATATATCAAATTTGGAGTATTTTGGAAAATATATTTTACCCCAAAATTAAAATATAGATTAGGCGTAGTGCTTCGGTTAAAATCAAAAGTTTTGTCAGATATGCCCTCATTATCGACAAAAATATTTAATTTAAATGAATAATTTGATAGCATGTGTTGGATATGATTGCAGTTGTTTATCACAATTGGTTGTGAATGCGATAACGTTTTCATTCAATTCATTGCATTTGGTAATTGAAATGAGAATAAAGTGAAACACTTTTTAATTTGTTTGTAGACTAGAATTGCAAGCATTTAGTAGTATAAGTTAGTATAAAATACTATTATATTGCATAACAAATTAATTGATTAGAAGTGTGGGCTTATCCTATTTCCTATTACAAGCACCGACTCTCTCTCTCTCTCTCTCCTCTCTCTCTCTCTCTCTCTCTCTCTCGGTTTGAATAACAAAAACTTAACCCAAACTTAACCTCAAGTTTATTGATTTTTGAAAATTCAATGATTTATAAATAATTCTAATTTTCTAATAGCTTTTGATTAAATCAAATACATTTGTTTGATTTGCATTTTTTTAATCAGTTTCCCAACAATTAGTCATTTAATTCTTTTATACTTAAAACAATTTATTACTTTTCAAACAATTTCTATAATACCGGTATGTAATTGATTCTAATGTTGTAAATAATTTCATATCTAATCTTTTCGGTCGAATAAAAAAGTTTGTATTCATTATTTCAGAAAACTTAGAAATTAAATATAAATTCTTATTTCATTTTTCATAAAACATTTAATAGAAATATATTTTAATGAAACTATTCTTGACATAAATACACGTCAAGTCTCGTCAACATTGGAAATAACAGACAACTCATCCATTCAGTGATCAAAACACAATACCATTTCATAAAAAAACATTTGCTAACTAACTATCAATTATCCTCTCTATATATAAATACAGATTCTTGTAGTTATTGAGTAATTCAATTTAACAGATTATAACTGATTCCCCATAGACTGCCCATTATTTTAGCAATAATTCAGAAAATTTGAAAATTAGTTTCATATGATTAGGAAATTGAATCAACTCTAGTGTTTAGTGTTTCACATTACACTTACAATCAAATTCTTTATGCCTTACTGTATGCCTGCGTTTATATAAATATTTAATTTTAAGTCAATTAAGTTAATGAATCAATAATTAAAAATTCATTCAAAATATATTTGATAACAATATGTATACATATTAATAGTCATTAATAATTGAAAACAAGTCATTAAAAAGTCCGGAATATTCACAAAAGTTTCTATTTTTGATCAAAAATCTAATTCAATAGACATTATTAAAAGTTATTATTTGAGGTTTGGCTTTCAATAAATGTAATTAATATTAATATTTGTAGGAATCATAGGCAGAATATCCTGATAAATTGAATCATATATGTCTAAAATAAATGTATTATCAATTGTTTTTAAATCCAAGTTCACAGTCGGATGGGTTTAATTTTGAAAAATACATTTTTTATCGTTTGTAACGTTCAATGGGTTTCAATAACATATGAATCATTAAATGGGAAAATAAATTCATCAAATAGTTTTTCAATACTTATTGATCTAATGTTTAAATTATAATATATTCAAAACCATTGCAAATGTAGAGAAAACAGATCATGTAATCTGCAAAACGATAAATGCTTTCCTTTATAACAAAATTATAAGTCAGTAATTGTTTTGTCGTTAATTTTAATGTCTATTTTATAATGAAAACATTTCTCTACAAATTCCGTTCAATAATTAATGTTTAGATTTAATTAAGTCACTGAAATAATATTTTTTTATCCAATGCCTATTCAAACATATTACTAATACATTTATTTATACATTTATTACTTACCTTTTATTATGTTTGAAGTGATAATAAAACTTTATTTTAATTGTTTGTAAATATTATACAGTATAATGAGATAAAACGTTTCAATCAATTGATGCAAATGTATACATATTTTTGAAAATCAAGTTTAATTATAACCAAATAAATAACAATCAATTGATTTCAAGATTAACTGAATTTAAAACTTTATTTGAGATGAAATATTTAGAAATATCATATATATACAGTATATATATATTTATATCGCAATAGTATGAATACCGTGATATATCATACTGTATATACGGTACAGTTTAATAGTAATTGAGATAATCGTATTTTAGAGACAAAACACACCTTTAATTCAATTAATTTTATAGATTTATAGTACAAAAGAATAAAATAATAATAATAGTAATAATAAGTGATCGGAACTGCACTTCACAAACGTTTGATTAATTGGAGATAAAATGGTTTATGAATACGATTTGTGAGTCAATGTATAAGTCGTTTAGTGAGAGATAAAATCCAACAAGTTTTGCAAATTCAAAGACAAACGGTTTTATCAATTTTCGGATTAATCTTAAGAACAATATTATTATATATGAGTAAAAAGAATATTAATCTTTAAAACCTTTAAAACTTTCTAAATTCAATTGGTTTTCATATTTCATTCAAATTTCAAGTTTTCTTTCAAATAATGTTTACAATTGTTTAATGAATTTAATTATAAATTACAGATCCATTTGAATGAACCGTCAGGTGACTCTTCATTTAGATGTCATCATTGTTACGAACTCTGGAGTCAGACAAACAAAACCACATTAACACCACTTCCCACACTAACCACTGCTGCCATGCATTCACACAACAAACAGATCCATACCTTCATAGTTCACTTGTCCGTCACCGTCGATGTCGGCCTCTCTGATCATCTCATCCACCTCTTCGTCGGTCAGCTTTTCGCCCAAATTAGTCATCACGTGACGAAGTTCTGCGGCACTAATGAATCCATTGCCGTCTTTGTCGAACACTCTGAACGCTTCCCGGATCTCCTCCTCAGAGTCGGTGTCTTTCATCTTGCGGGCCATCATTGTGAGGAACTCCGGGAAGTCGATGGTTCCGTTGCCGTCGGCGTCCACCTCATTGATCATGTCCTGCAACTCGGCTTCAGTGGGATTCTGACCCAAAGACCTCATAACAGTTCCCAACTCTTTGGTGGTAATGGTTCCGTCACCGTCTTTGTCGAACAGCGAGAACGCCTCTTTGAATTCTGCATACCATACACACCACGGGTTAGACACTATCACCACATATACAGTATATACTATGAAACTGACCTGCGATTTGTTCTTCAGTTAATTGGTCGGCCTATCAGTCAATCAATAAATCAATTCATATATTAATACCGTATTTACGTTACGATTGCATCAAAATGAGTGCAAAATATCAATAACGGTCACAAGTGGTGACGGGATCAGTCAATGGTGATAGTAATGGTTATGATATGATATAATTACTATATTACATAACATATAACTATAAGAGTATATTATATAACCGAAAATAAGTTGCATTGAAAGGCATGTGCCGTATATTTGAGTGTTTGCTTGCATTCAATACATTCAATACATTGGCACTCATTGTATGCGGCATTCAATGCATTCATTCAATCAATAATTAACTGATCACTGTTTGCACCACTGATTACTGACCACTGGATCACCACAAATGCACAGCAAATACATACCATTATTAGTGTGGATTAGATGCTTGTCTTGCGATTTGAATGAATTGGTGATCGGATTGATTGGATCTGAAGTCGGTTTCAATATTTGAATGTTTGAATGGATTGAATGGAAAGCAATGCGAATATAACGATGTATTGGAGGAGTATTGCAGTGAACTAGTCGTCGACCCAAGTATTACACGCTATAACCAGTGCTAGACTACAGCGCGAACCACCAATTCTCTGCTACCAGTGCTCCCATACACTGTCAATGCATACACAGAGTATGACTGTATGACTGCACCGATGCCGTGACGTCATTGCCTGAAAGCGCCAACCAGTACACCAAACCCGCGACACTGCGACCAACCCCTGTCCGCACGTCTGGCCACGAGTTATGGTGTCGGCGCTCACGACCGGCACTACTGGTCACCAATCGTGAGGTAATAAACCCATTGTTTGCTTCACTTATGGCCCCTTTCATGGCTAGCATTGGGCACTATATGACAGCGTATGGATGTGTGCTGGTGAGTGGTGAGGCATAGCGTAAAAGGTGTGGCCAACGCACGATTGGTGGAGATATACCTGCAATGCGTCAACTCGTGCTACCAGTGTGAACACAGTATCGCACACATTGACAGTGCAGTCAAGTGTATGCTATGCTATGCAGTGGTAGGCAGTAGTGAGCGACGCATTGCAGGTATATATTGAGCCAATCGATTGACCCAAACCTACAACCACTACACCATTACCTACCAGTCCTTCAATACTTGTGACAAACTATTGCATCAGTTATTTATCACTCAATGCAGCACTTAATGCAACACTCAATCCAATGAAACCTTTAATTATGAGACCATTGCGTCCAATGTAGTGACAAATCAACGCAAACACTGCAGTCATGCAGTCATAGCTCACAAATGACCGCATATTCCCATATTATAGCCACTAATCGCACACTACTGTCCCCTCAGTGCAACCTTTCAACTCATGTTAGGCCTCACTATTGGCACTACTTTTGTCGCCAAAAAACTTTTTCTGTCGAAAACATTGATTTCCGCAATCGTTTTGAACGACAAATGCATTTATTTTTCATCTAAAAATGTATTTTCAAATCGATTAGCAATTTGTAAAACTTTTATAACATTATTATTAGCAATAATTTGGATGTTTTTAATGTAGGAATGAGTGATTTATTTGAGGAAATGTGTCATCATTTAGGAATGAATGCACTTTTGGCTCAATTGTTGCAATTGTTGGAGATTTTTGGTCTCAAATTAATTGTTTGCCTATTGATCACCAAAAACTGATTGATTGTTATGTCTATTGAATGCAGTATTCTGTGTGTAAGCAATACTTGCCTCCAATAGACTCACTTGACTTCATTTGAATAGCAGAATATTCTTCGGACAATCAGATAGTCATACAATGACTGCTGACTTACCATAAGGTTATGGCTTACAGTACGGGCAATGAGTTATGAATAATAAATGCAAACTTACAATCACTTGACATTGTTTTGTGCCCAACATTCATATGATAATCGCCTAATAAACATGTATTTCACCATTCATTCAGTAATTCTGTGTTTGCTATGTTTACGCCAATCAGTTGTGAATTCAATTTGAAACAAGCTTTTCATAAACATGTTTGTAAATCGATTACATTTGATTCATGCATTTATTTCATTAAAAACTTTTTCAATTACTTATTTAAATTGAAATTTGCAATTAATTAATGTTGCAACAAGGTATTTTAATAGACAAACGCATTGATTTGGTAAAATAAATATTTATTTTACTTTCAACTCATTTGCATCTTTCAGCCAATTCCTACTAAATGCATAAAAAATGCTAAAATAATAATAAATAATTTAGTAATTTTGCCAACTTTTATAAGCTTTTTTGTCAACGGGTTATGGAAATTAAGAATAACATTATTTTTATTATCATTTATTTATTTTATTGTTATTTCAAAATTTATCAAAAATAATAAACACATGTTTAATATACAGGTAGTATTAGTTAAAAATGTTTTGAACTAAATTTATATATTTATAATTATTATTATAATTATTGTATAACGTATTTTAATTTAGCATTGCTTTTATGATCAATAAGTTTCCAGAAATATGAGACATTGTTTTCTCGGTGTTTCACTTAATTCTCACGAATATACAGACTTTCGTTAGAAAATACAAATGTATTTTATTTGTGTATTTTTTGTTTCTCAAGAATTTTTACTAATTAAGTNCTTAATTCTCACGAATATACAGACTTTCGTTAGAAAATACAAATGTATTTTATTTGTGTATTTTTTGTTTCTCAAGAATTTTTACTAATTAAGTTTAGCTTTTGATGTGGATCAATTTAAGCAATACATTATATTTTACGAATATTAAAAATTACTTGGATTCCAATCATAATACTGTATTACAAATTATATTCAAATTATGTTTCATTTCAATTTGACGATTGCTTTTTACAGTTGAGTTAAAAATAAAAATAAAATTGTCTTATTATTCACATATAGATAGCATAAGTTGTCTGCAAAATACAGTTTGCTTTTATTCTTTAATTCTTCAATTTAATACATTCATTTGATGTGTGAATGCAAGTCACAGTAATTTCTAATGAATTAATGTTTGATTTTGTGTTTAAATAATAGTTGAATTTGTGATACAGACCGAGTACCGAATGCTTTCTTATTACTGTTAGTTGTAATAAAACTAATGAAAAATACATTATTTGAGAAGAATTTGTAAATTGTATGATTGTATGAGTGCTCTAACTGTAAGACCTAAATATAGTTTTGATTGAATTGTCAATTGAGGCACTTTGCGAAGTGTAAACTCTATTTCTTATTAAAATTCAATTTTCTTATCCATTTAAACTTCACAAAAATCTTTTTAATCGCTATTTAATTCTATCCACTATTTGTTCGCTTACTTTCACATTGGCTCATGATTTTAGACTGTTTTTG